CCTGTTTGGCCATTTAGTTTAGAGTCTGAACCTGGCAAGGTTGCTAGTATTTGGATATTGGACTGGGGATTAGCACCTTGGTGCTGTTTTGTTTGTTTACAAGCATAACTGTGGAACTCCTTCTCTTCCTAAATGCAAGTTCCATTAGACCCCAGGGAACCTTTCTGAGGAGAAAAGTCACCCCACCAAAGGAGTGTCTCAGTGGGTCACCCACATCTTCCAAGTGCTTCCAAGGAAGGGTGGATGTGAGCTCACAGCTGGCACTGGGAGCACAGGACCCTGCAAGTGTGGCCTTACATGACCCTGTGTGAAATGGAGCTACAAATTTACATCCTAATGACAACATTTGGGATCTACAGGCCTGAACTTTATCTACAGCAACTTTTCACAGCTCTGTAGATGGCCAGAAAGATGTGAATGCTTTTCTCATTGATCACCTCCTATCTGCTGTATTAAATCCTGTGGCCGCCCACAGGCTGATGCTCGGTGGCAGTTCTTTTCTCTTTTGTGCATAACACAGCAATGGCATTTTTAACAAACACTTTGTAAGTTTGAGAAATATGGGTCGATCCTCCGACAGCAAAAAAACCCAGCGATGTCTCAGTTTGTGTCGGGTAAGATGCAGTGCAAATATTTTTAACATCTTCCTAACGCTGAGTGCCGCGGGCTGCCGCTCCCGGGCCGGATCCCCGGCACTCAGCCTGAGCTGCCAGGAGCGGCCCGAAGGTGGCAATGTCGGATCCTCGAACGGCCCTCGCTGCGGTCCGCACCGTCGGAAACGCTTCTCGGAACCGAGCGCTGACACGCGGGTGGGAGTTACAGCTCCTCGGGAATCTGGAGAGCTGACCGATGCATCTGTATGCCTTTGAGTCCTAAAACTTTTAGTGTTAGAAATCCAATCATACTTAAAGACGGCAAATAATGGTACATTTTTGTCGACAGGGAAGACTTTGTCTTTGCATACAAGAGCTACACAAAAATGCTTCGTGGTCTCGTGCCTGAAGTGCTTTTGCTGTGGAAGGGGTTTCTGCTGTCAGAGGAGAAGCAAAGAGCCAGCGGGAAAAAAATCCTCCTACGGGTTTTCAGTGATCACCTCAAGAGGAATGTTTGATTGATGCGATTTCAGGGCGTACCAAAGCCCATATCCTGGAGTGAAGATGCCAACTATTGATGCTGATGCTTCTTTTCTGTTCTTATCAAATCATGTTCGTTTTCATCCTGTGATACCCAAACTGAATTTGTGGACCCTATCTTTGCCTAACAAACACATAACTTTCCCCAGTTATTGTACCATACGATGCTTTCCTGTCTTAATTCTCCCCACTCAGATTATCCACGGAAGCATTCCTCTCAAAAATTAAATACAATTCTAATTATATAGGGTTGCAGATGATTTTCTTCATTTCCCAAAATGTGCTTCTAATTCTGAGTGAGACTGAGTCATCTTTTCCTTGGCTGACCTGAGAACTGCTATCACTATAAAAGTCCTGGAGAATAACGCTCAGTTTCTTTGTGCTGTGAAGTGCATCACTAATGCTAATGAGCAGCACTGCTTCCATTTATCATCCAGCAACTCTGTGTCAAAACTTTGTATGCAATTACCTGTGGAAACTTACGGTAGCCCACGCCACTTAGTTCCTGTGGGAGGCACAACACGTAGATGGCAGCACCGTACAGACCAGAGACACGTTACTATCCTTGCTGACCGTGGTGGGATGATGGGGAGCTGTAAAACCTCTCTCTAATTTTGGAAACAAACAGCCTTGTTGTTTTTTTTGAACTCTAACCACCAGATGATGTCTGGAAAGTGCTTTTTTTCCTGGTCAGTACCTTTGGCAGCCTAATCATTGTAGTTTAAAGCCTTGTTTGTGGACTGCACAATGTAAGCAGGAAGGAACATTATGAACATAACAAAGATGGCTACAAAACCGCAGATATTCAGAAGGATGCCTGATCAAGGAGCACCTGAAACCTCGGTTTGGCAGTGCTGCCATGTCTGTGTGCCCCAGCTGACTTCGGAGTTGCACAAGGCTGTTCGACTCTTGTCACAAGGGCTACAGGAATAATGAATGAATATTTATAAAGTGCAAATTTGCTCTAATTACCCTACCTGGTCTGCTGTGTTCCCAGTTATGGCAGAATTTTATTTCTGTTTATTTCTGAATTAGTTCCCACGGGCAAAGAGAAAGTAGAAGCTCCATTGGGCAGAGCAGAAGAAACTTCTGATACTACAGACCTGCTATTTCTTTGCTGTGCCTTTGGCAGAACTAATAGCAGCCATGATACCTTCAGTGATTTCTAGGGAGTATTTCAGAAGATATGAGATGCTAGAACATGAGAAAGAAAAACAATAAGCAAAAAGGGAGGAAGCTCTGATTTTATTGTTAATAATTATTAAGCCAAACTAACCATTTTATGTTTGTCAGTGCAGTGCAGGCAATGATCTCCCTCACTTGTGGGGTGTGAATTTATCTTTATTTGAGGTGTGTGCTTTTACACAGTCCTGCTGACTGATCCCAAACGAGGAACGCTGTCCTGAGGACTTACACTCTAATGTCACGAGATGAGACAGAACGCACACAGAGCTGAAGTGCCTCACTGGAGTGGCACTTGGGATCTGAACTGATCTCCACTTTTCAGTCCTTTAAATAATCATTTCTATGTTAGCAACACTGAGATCATTAGAAATACTGAATTTGACTTAGTAAAATATCACAGAGGAAGTGGTAAGTGAGTGGGTAAATCTCGAGTTAAGCATTTTTCTGGGCTAGTAATAGAACCTTTGGAGTGTATTTTTGTTGTTGGGAGTGATACTCATCCCCTGTTGTGAAATCTAGCCCATGCCTTCAGTTCTGCCTGCTTTCTGCAGGTTGCAGTCCTGCTCTCTAGATGGCCCAGGGGATGCTACCGTTCCACCAGTTCAGAAGGCATTGCACTCTGGGCTTTATTTCTGTGTTTTTGGTACACTTCTCATCTTAAGGATAAATAAATACTAAATTCCTGTTAAATCTTGCACAAGGAACAAATAGCAACTGATAACACAGAGAAAATTGGGATATATACTACTGAATGATGCATGAGCAGAGACTTCAAGACTCCCAGTCTTCAGAGTCAGATTTGTCACTTTTTCATTTAATTTCCGATTAAACACAGTCAGTTACATCTGTAGGACTGTGGGTATCCAGTCCAGTTTTCAGTCTGTTGTGGATCCAAGGGAAGAATGTGAAGTCTTACAGCTTTCTTGCAAGAAGGGTCTGCTCCTTTCCTCTTGCTTTAACTTACAAGTCTTTTTTTCTTGACTAAGCCAAAAGGAAAAAAAGTCAGTAACTGTGGGGAACAGAACTATTGTAGGGAAGAACTGCCTATTTTAGGCACGAACTGCCAAGAACCGCTCTGCTCGCCACTGACACTGGTTCACACTGCTCCTGGACAGCCCAGGGTGACCTCTTTGACCAGGCTCTGTGTACTACTCCTTGTTCCCTGATAGCCACGTGTCAAGAACGAGGTGTGGAATGGATAAGTAATACAGAGTTGGTGCTGGTGGGCATTGGCAGTTCTCTGCATTTGAAGGATGCGGCTCCAATTCATCTGACCTAACACTGACCTTCAAATGAGACACCTGAATTAGGAACCTGCCTCATTCTAAAAAAAATTATTTAAAAAATAAAAATTAGGAAGATTTCAAATCTGCCAATGGTGATCTAGGGCTTCAGGCAATGAGGCCATGACTTCAGGCACTTTGGGAAGGGCCTAACACAAATTTTGGCTCAGTCTGTCTACAGTGTGAAGGAGGAAAACTGAAGGGTGAGCTTTTGTCCACTGAGAGACTCCCACGAACTCTGGTTACAGTCGCACAAAGAGCTGCAGCGCTAAGAATGAGAACCTTCTACAGCAAAACTTGTTTCGCTTTTGCATCAGCCATTTGTGCAGTTAAGTTCTACCCAAACAAGTCATGAATGTATACAGCACGCTGCTTTTCCCGGATGTGTATCTTGATAACGTGCAAACTCTTGATTCACTTCTGCATAACTGTTGTTGCTTAATCAGACTTGCTAAAGCCTATGACTCTTCAATGACACCACTAAGATCACTGAGTATGGAAGTCAGTTCTGAATTACAGTGAAATAATATAAAGGAGCAAATGGAGACAAGTCCCACGTATCTACTAACGGGAAGTTTCCCTAAACCCCCACCTGTCACAGAAGTGCAATGCTCCAAAGCACTGTAGCAGAAATGCTGAGTCACGGCCTGAAGCAGCACCTGGTGGGAAGGCAGGGCCAGCCCAGGGAGCTCGGCTGCATGCAATGTACTGAGTGATGGAAGGGCTGGAGCCAGGATCCACCCCTCATCAGCCCTCATTTAAGGGTTGACCAGCTTTTTCTACACTCAGGTGATTTTATTTCCTAATAAACGCTTTAAATTTTCTGAAGCCAGTGTGCTTTACCTGGTGATGCTCGTTGCCCAAACCCTCCCTCGGCTGTTGCTCGCTTCTCACCTCCTGCAGGTGGTGGTGCCTGCCTATAGCACTTGTGACACTCCTTCCACTCCTTAAGAAGCAAGTGGAAAGGAAAGGAGAGCCTAACAATTTATTACTTGAAATTAATACAGCTATTGCTGTTGAATTTGTACTGTCTGTACTTCTGCAGTATACGCAGGTTAATACAAATAGCAATGCAAGCCGATCTCTATTGGGGACATGCACCACTCTGTCAGTGGGAATTCTAACGTTCTTTTGACTTCATAAAAGCACAAAGTGTTTTTATTGGAACTTTCTTGTTGACTGCACATGCTGTTAAAATGCAAAAGAGGAGTGATAGCTGACTTGGTAGCTGTCAGCTGTGTCACTGGAAACAGTCAGCTTTTGAATCGATCCATAATTTTCACGAATTTGACTAAAATCTCAGATAATGTACTCTAAAGAGTCATAATCACCTTAAATGTTCCGCCTTCACAGTAAAAGCCAGAACGCAGCATGTGGGTTTCATACTAATGTTGTGCTCTTAAGACGTGTATCTGGATTTATTTAGCATATGGACTACAGCATGCGTTACCTTGTGTAAAACAGAAGCAAGTTTGTTACAGTGATTCATAGTGAGACATGTTGATGCACTTACAAGTGATGTGCTGCCAAGTACAAAATTATAGAAGGGTTCATCCTGCCAGGCTGATTTGTTCCCGGCTCAGGCAGAGCTCCCAGCAGGAGGGATGCTGTCACAGGTTTGCTCTACCAACACCCAGCTTCAGGGCGATCTCTCTTTTTCTGGACAAGGACTTGAGAATCAAGTTATAATTCTGGGATTAAAATAAAGTGACACATGAAATAAATGACCATGAGCTCAATGTAGAGACGCTGAAAAAATGGATGGACTTGTTAGCTAGAAGAAAAGGGAAATAAGGTTAGGTTTTATTTGATGAGTCTCGATTTCTCCCTTCTCACTTCCAAACGTACAGCTCAGCCTGTCACACACAGTCTGAGATAGGCAACTGTTGCTCACAGGACCAGTCTAATTACCACTTCTTTCTGTAATGAATGCTGACACAAAAGGAGGATATACAGCACTTGTATTGTAGCCAATGCTACAGATGATCAAACATTTTTGAAATTAAGAGTATTTTGGATGGAAAATGTGTCCCTTTTTTGTCACGATGTTCCTGTTTTTTATCCAACTCTAATTAAAGCTGAACAAGAGTGAAAAGCTGGTTATGTTCTTAGCTCTGGCACATAATTAATTGCCGAGAGTTTATGCTGGGTGTGTTAGCTCTCTGTAGGAATGCTCCATAGGCACATTTTTCTACAGCAGCAGATTTTTAGAGCCCTAATTATTTGTAAAGTGCACTTTTTAAAGTTTGGGAATTATTCCTTAAAAATAAGTGTAGCAAAACACCTTCAAATTTTATTTAAGATACTTGAAAAAAAAAACAGTGTAAGGAGTGCTTGACCAACCAGCTTGGGCTGAGGAACAAATTCTATGTTTTTTGGCTCTCATCAAATACAGCAAACCATCGTACATGCTGGCACTCCCATCAACCAAGCCAGTAAGCAACAGGGCTTCTGCAAACTGGCGTAGAGAAGCATTAGTAAATGTGATGGGAACTTTCAAATCTCCCTACCTCCTAACAGTTAATGGGGGGGAAAAAAAGTGCAATTCATGAGTTTATGTCTTCTTTAGGTCTGAGCACACACGAAGTCAAACGAGTGGATTTCATACTTCTTTTTTTTTTAAGTTCTGGAGTTTGTCTCCTGTGTTGTTATGCAAACCAGTCTCATTCCCTCCACAACAAAGGGGAGGCCTGGCACTTCTCTGCATAGGGGCAGGTGCCAAACCTGAGCTCCTCCCTGACCCAGGTACTGCCCCAGTTGTCAGTGGGGAACCTGTGTGGAGAAATATCATACAGTTGTCCTTTAGGGCCTTAACTGCATTTCCATAGCCTATTCAAAGTTTTCTCCATTACTATGATGTCTTTAATGCTGGTAAAGGTATAGTTAATCAACTCTTAAGTCCCTCATGATTGAGGACAGGAAAGGATAAAGCTGTCAGCACCCCCCGCTCCATGACTCAAATGATATTTTCTTCTTTTTTTTTGTCATCAGTGGCAGCTTCCCACGACCACATATTTTCTGCTCCCTCTAAAGAACCCAATGCTGAATGTGAATGGGTAGCTGCAATATTGATTCGACAAGCAACAGTAGGGTGTTCCCTGGAAACAGGCCTCCCTTAATTCTGTTTCATATCTGAGGTAAAGTAAAAACATGGAAACAGATGGTAGGGAACGACTGGCATCTTACCATGCATATTTCATTTCATTTGCAGCTAGTGTCCCCTTGATAATATTAAACGCTACAGAACTCAAAAGACTGTTCCTTGGAATCCTGCATTCAATGACACAGGATCAATACTGTAACTTCATTTAAATTTTGGAGCTGATGAGCTCTAAGTATCTGCATCTTCAGTGAGGTTATGATACAAACAGCTCGGCTCTTTTTTTGTTCCTGGCATGTTTAGGGCTGACTTACAAAGAAATGTACGGCTGCTGTTGTGAATGACGAATCTGACTTTATGTTCCTTAAGAGCACAGTGGGACAAACCTCTGCGGTTATTTCGATCATGCTCTAAGGCATTTTACTGGGAGAGAATTTAGCCATTAATTTTGTTGTATTTACATTATTTATATACAAGAAAAATGACAGCCTGCTTATGATTATATACATTGTGATTCAGTTGGAAAAAATGTGCAGTACAAAAGACAAAACATCCTCTTGAGTACAGAATGATATGTTATTTTTGTCAGAGAACTTCTGAACCCTAAAAACCCACTGTGTGATCTCTGCGAAAGCCCTGTCCTGAGCGTAACACTGGGAAGGTTGGGGGGAAGAAACAACATAATTGGAGACTTCTTAAACCACATCAGTTCCTGGTTAGCAGCCCCTTTTCCTCCTTTCAAAATGAGGGTAACCTCTGTAAAATGCTTCCAAAGCAAAGTAAAAGATGGAATCTGATATAACAAAATGTTATTCAACATGAGGAAAAACAGCAACTTAAATGTCACTCATTGCCCTGTTGTCAGTAGAGATACTCGGAAACAAAATATCACTCCCCTGTGATGCATTGCTTATCTGAGACTTCGTTTTTAATAAGAACTGTGCCCTCCTGTACATGATTCTTTCCTGTTCCTGCTTCAGCTCAATGTAGGAGCGCGAGAACGTGTGGAAGATGGAAGTGACTGGGAAAGCCATGAGGAGGATGCCGCTCAGGATGCTGCTCAGCGCCACCACTTGGCCGGGAATGCTCCTGGGAACCATATCTCCGTAGCCTACCGTGGTCATGGTGATGACAGCCCACCAGTAGCACGCGGGGATGCTGGTGAACTCCTGTGAGTCCGCCATCTCATTCTCAATGACGTACAGGAGCGGTGCAAACAGTGCGATGGCCACGCAGAGGAAGAGCAGCAGGAGCCCGAACTCCCGGGTGCACCTGCGGGCGGTCAGGCCCAGCGTCTGCAGCCCCAGGGAGTGCCTGGCCAGCCGCATGACGTACAGAATCCTCAAGGCACGGAGTATCCGGAGGACCAGACCGACTTTGTCCAGGTAGATGCTCCCAGAGCTGGGCTTCTTGTAGCCCACCGAAGTGGTGTCTACCAGCAAGGTGATGTAATACGGCAAAATAGCTATTATGTCGATCAGAGTTAACGGCCTCCTCAAAAATGCAAACTTGCTCTTTGCCTGGATGAATCTCAGCAGGAACTCCAGTGAAAACCATGCCACACAGACAGACTCCACAATGAAAATATTGTAGCACATCTGGGAACACTCACCCTGTAGGAAAGAGGAGGAGTTTGTAATCAGCACTTGGATAATAACTATTTTAGTTGGTGCAGTGACAGGAAGAGAGTTTTGTGGGCTTTTTAAAACCCAAAATATTAAAGGAGTTGAAGCTGTTGCTATGGGAAAACACAATGACAAATTGGAACAAGTTAAATGCAAATCTTAGAAAAGAGCTACTTATTCCACAGAAGACATTGCTTGGTAATTTCAAGCATCCTAAATAGCAAATGCAAGCTTAACAAGGCATTACAGACAAGAATGTACAGAAAAATGCCCAGGAACAACGTTTTCTTTGGACATAGAACTCGATATGATTGATTCTTTTGCAGGTAATTGAACACAGCCATAAATGATTTCAAATATTCTTTGTGTATTTTTTTCCATCCAATAGCAGCTGCAAAATCCCTATTCAAATCAACACCATCAGACTTTGTAGCTGTTCTGCTCCTCCCAGCACATACCATTTTCTAACCTGAAAAGGGAACTTACCTTATCCTCCTCCTCCCTCAGGTCAGGCATGGTGCTGATGGACAAATTCACTGCTGTAATAGTTACAAATAAAACAGACAAACAAGCAAACACCTTCCCAGGGAGGCCAGACTGGGGTCGTTCTACCATGTCCTGCAACTTTTTCATGCACAAGCCAACTTTTGTTTCCTCTACTGTTTCACCTGTTGTTTCATTTTCTATAAGGTCATCCTCCCGTTCATTTATTTCTGTAAACTCCTCCATTTTTTGCAGATATCTCCTCTTACAGCACCAATCCAAGTTGTCTTCCTCAATTCCCCAGTAGAGCAGCTCTTCTTGAAAAGACAGCGCACACATCTCACGCAGGAGCCGAAGCTTTCCAACCCTCAAAAAGGTCAGGATTGTCCTGAACGCTCCTGGGTTGCGGTCAAAAAAGAACTCATTGCACGTCACATCGTAATCATCACAGATGTTTAGAATGTCATCAAAATTGTTGCAGAATTTTAGTTGTCCCAAGCGTGTCAATGGGAATTCATCAAGTGTGGTCCACGGGAGCAAATACTTAATGCCCCCCACATTTATGATGATATGATGCTTCCGGTCGTCAGGGTGAAAGCCTTTCAGGAGATCCTCTTCAGGGTGAATCAGCTTGGCTCTTTGGTAGAAGACGCCCTTGAGGCTTTCTGTTTCGGGGAAGAATGCGTGGTTGAAGGAAGCATCTGAAGCACAGCTGAGGGCACTATAGTCATAATCAGAATTTTCTCCAGGTAGAAGAGTCATCTTGGAAGATAACTTCACATCCCTTTGCTATTCGTTGTGTCTTCTGGAATGAAAACCATATACATGGATTTAGTGGTTGTTTTTGAGTTTGGAACAAACGTAGTGACTGAGGCTCAAAAACCATTTACGATTGATGTAATAACTGGAAAAAAAACAGCAGGGGCTGAATACAGCCAGAAAAGTTTTCTGCAGAGGCTCTTTTTGTCCAGCCAGGGAGAAATGACTCGCGCAAAGGCCACTCTCTTATCCAGGGGCTCTGCTTGGCATTTTTGTCAAATTAGGGAACTTCCCCTGTTTCACTTGCAGCAATCTCAGTTCCTGCAGGTACAGAGGGAAAACAGGAATAGTTCTTGCATGTGGCACGTGCAAAAATTACGGTAGTATCAACAAGAACACAGCATTCAAGTGTGTCTTGTAGAAAAGAAAATCCTATCTTTTTTTTTGTAATTTAACTATTACAGATAAAAATCCTAATTATTTTTGCATTCATTAAGTATATAGTAAGAATTGAGAGTCAATTTTGCTATAATTAACTAAGTACTTAAAAACAACAGTATAAGACTAATCTCTAAAAGGCCTTACAGAAAAAAATTGGAAAAAACAGTTCTATTGATGATGACATTTGTATAGAGTTTATGCATATTTAATGCCATGGCAACTCACTTCTTAAAGCCTCACGAAAGATTGTTTGGAAATACAGAGTTTCTGCACAAATATTGGGATGTTACTGCAATTACAATTAGCACCCTGTGCACAGTAATAGGCTGTAATTATACAAAACCCAAACACGCTTCTGATGAGGTTGAAAATCAGGTTAAAATTCTGCTCACACAAAAGCAGTGTTAAGCCCAAGGAATGAAGATCACAAGGTTGTAACGGGTATAAATCAGAGATACTGGGAACACTGAACTCTACCTGCCCAACTCACTGTGATGTAGCAGCCGGTCTGAGAGCTTTGCACAGAGCTGTGCAGTACCACTCCTGGGTTGCTCATCTCCACAGCCAGCCACAACTCAGTGCAAGGAATTGCTGAACTGCATGTGATTACAGTACGTATTCATTGCGTGGACTGTACAGTGATGAGCAGATATTTGTTACACACACATACTCTGACTTTCTAGCCGCAAGTAACAAATATTACAATTAATTCACTTCAATAGCAGAACAGTTTTGTTCTCCAGGCTGCACTTACCTCCTCTTTGTTTTGCCCTCTGGGGCTGTATATCCCTGCTAGAGCAACTTCCTTAAACACAGAACTGTTCTCAGAAGCTGAGGATCATAACTCACATCAGTGGTGTTACATACCTGTTGCAAAAGAAAAAATCATCAATACACAACAGCAAAATACTTTAAACAGCTGCACCTCAGTTTAAGAGCAACAAGCCTTCCTTGCTGCATGGGGACTTAAAATAATGTTTTCAATAAAATGCTATCCCAGTTGTGCTCCAAACCTTCCCAGGAGATTACTGTAAGTGGAACAGCTCCTTACAAGCTCTTACAAACAGGTGTCCCCAGGTGAGCTCTGGGTGGAGTGATACTGCTTGATGTTTCATGTTTATACTCCTGAGTACAAACAGAGACCATTCATTTACTTACCTCTAAGGCCTGTGGTGGGACTGCGGGAGGACAAAGCCAACGGGACAATGCAAGAAAGGGCGCAGTGTGATTCAGACCTCCCGAGAGCTGTGGAACATTTCCTGGCCTGAGGTAAGCAAAGGGGTTTGCTCTGTCACTGCCCAAAGCGTCTGTAAGTCTATAGCTGGTGATTCCAGAACAGCTCTTTGGAGAGTTACCATGCTCTGTGCAAAAACCTAAACCATGCTTGGCTTCGGTGCCTCCTACCTGTGCTTGTGCTGAGTAGCTCTGCCTTTGCTTCAGAGTTATGGGTCTGGAAATAATCCCCATGGCAGGGAATGGGCAATCCTAAAACTCCTTTGGGAGAGTGCAGAACTGACGAAATCCCACAGGCTGCACTCAAATAATTTTCCCATCAATGGCAGCTTGCATCTAGCCTCAAAAAAAGGCCAAGCGAAGGCCTGCTGACCTGCAAGCCCTGCTTTCTAAACAAATGTTAACATGAATCATAACTATATTAAAAAGTGATACTGTAGGAAATCCTGGCCAATGCTGGGATTATCAGTGAGCATCACAGCATACTGTGGCACTGTGCCCACTGCCCCCTGGAAAAGCTGCAGCACTGTGATCAGTGAACGGATCCGAGAGGAACGGCAGCAGGCTCAGGCAGCACCCGCCGAACGGTGGGAGAAGGGAACAGCTGGCCTGGTAATTACCCTGATGCTGCCCCATCACACGAAGCTCTCCTAATGGCCTAAGAGCTGTTTCCTACCAAAGCACTCCCAGGATCCCATCTGTAGAAGGAATGCCGCCAGGAGTTCAGGCCATAGGTTTGATGCGGGAAAAATGGGACTACCTGACATAGCCTTCTCCTCAAGAGAGACAGCCATCTTGTTTAGGAACAAGGTTTGTTCCCTCTGCCTCAGCTATGTCTAAGCAGGGCTTGCCTCAATAGAATTAAGATTATGATTAATGGAAGACTGTGGGTAAATGAGAGCTAAGTTAACAGGTTTCCCTTCTGTAATACCAGATGATATTGGTTAGCAGCAACTTGTCCTCTGAATCTCAGCCAGGAAAAACGAGGAGGCAGCGCATCTCTGTGAGTGGTTTGATTTCCTACCACATCCATTGTTGACACAATGGGAAGAAATGGGCAGAGAGAGATGTAAATGTTCGTGCATGTCAGTCACACACTGCAACCCTGAGGCATCAACTGTGAAACAACAGAGCAAGGAAAAAATTACTTCTTTCTTTGCTTCCAGCTTCTCGACGTGCGTGAGACAATAAATTGGGCTAATTAATCCCCTGTGCAAGGCACTGAATGACTGCTGTTATAGGAGGTGGCTCCTCCTCCTTTCATGGCCAGAACTGGAAGCAGGCAGCTACAGTATTTGATGCTGCACCTGTGTTATTTATGTGGTTCTTTTACCTCCAAGACACCAAGCTTTATACCTAAGAGAGAAGAAGAAAATAAGAGCCCATATATGGTCTGATTAAAGGGATCACAGAGATAAATAAAGCCACACATTTCTTTGTATGCTTCTTGTCTTCCTTTCGAAGGCACTTCTATGTGATGAAGATCAGCGCTCCTTTAAGAAGAGACAGATCTGACACTTGAAAGGGTTGTGGTTTTTTTCTGTTGTTTTCTTTGTGTGTTTTTTTTGTTTGTTTGTTTGTTTTTTTTTTTTTTTTTTTTTTTTTTTGCTTATGAGCTTGAAAAATGCTCAAACTGCCTTATTCATATTCTGCAGGCTGATGACTTTGGGTTAGCTGTAAGAGATGCATTGAGAATTAAAGACAACACACTAATATAAGGTCAGAAAAACACGTTACCCTATAGTGACAATTTTCCCAACATTAACAATTAAACAAGGAACTTCAAGGTTGTGCTACAATAGTAAAATCTTTAGATAAAACTGCTTTGGTAAAGCAGGGCCCGGAGATACAGCCCTGCCTCCTGAGATAGCATTCCACCTTCTGAATGCTTGGGAGTTTGTGAATCCCAGCTCTCCCTTCCAGCTGCCTCGCCTATCAGACATGCTCCTCCTGGATAAATCACTTCTCTGAGCTTCTTTCCTTCTGCTGTACTTTATTTACAGCTCAGTGGGGCAAGAGCTGACTCTTACCACGTCACACAACCCCAATCACAGTTCTGACTTCCAGAACTGCCCCCAGCAAGGGCTCCTGGTGACTGAAATGGAGCGGGGTGTGTGAATCAAGATGTAACATCTTCTCAAAAATCTCTCTCGCTCAAGATGATATTCTTATCCATTATGTCTGGTGAAAAAATTGGATGATGCCCTCTCTTTCAGCAGAAAGTCAGGAAGAGTGCCAGACTCCTAGACAGTGAGGAAAGAATTATTAAAGATGCTCTTCTGAAGTAAGGAAATAGAAATCATAAGTAACATCCTAGAATTCCACCTCAAGTTCTGTTCTCTCCCTCTCCTGTGTCCTCTGCAGCATTTTGAATTCTGCAGTGCATCTCTGATGTAACCAGAGCTCCTGCAAGGACCTGACACTGCTCCGCGATGCAGACAATTCAAAGTTGTGCCTGGGTGATGGCAAGCATACATAACTCTCCCTCAGACTCTTCGGTCCATTCCAGTGCCTAGGACTTATCTCTACTGCTTTTTACCATTTCTAATTTAGTTTAAAAAAAAGTTTCAGATTTCAGAGCAGAGTGAATACAGTGACTCTGTAAGAAGCAGCTTTGCCGTTCAGTGATCCGGCACTCCGTTTCTTTTCCCTGGTTAAAGCAGGCAATATTTCCAAGCAGTCTTAAACTCAGCTCTTCTGGCACACGACTTCCACCCTGTATCACTGTCAGGATGCTCCTCTGAAAACTTCATGCCACGCTCCTGCAGCTCAGCACAAAGTAACAACAGATCTTCAACTCTGCCAAGTGAGCTGCATCAAAGTAACGCTTACAAGAATCAACATACAGCACAAAATCAGCCTGAAAAGCACAGAATCTGCTGAAGAGATTCTCTTATCTGCATGCTGCTCTCTGTGACCTGGTCCGTGCTGTGATTGAGGGCGTCATATGACAACCTGCAAATTGAATTAATGCAAATATTTTGCTCAGTGCTTTGTTTGATAAAGCTGAGCCTCATTCTGCTGATAACAATCAGAAGTGAAATAACTTTGCCAGGTGCTTTACAATCCCAGGAAAATGTTCTGGAATACATTACAGGTAATAACCACAGTTCTTCTCTCGCAGAGAAATGGGTTTATGTTTGAGCAATTTTAGAAAGTCACAATGAAAGCTGCCTTTTAAACATCTTTTTTAAAAGTAAAGGATTTGTCATTTATTTACACATATGTGTATTCTGATATTGCAGTGAAGAGATCTGTAGCCACGGAGCGATTTTTTTCACACGTTTTCTCTGCTACCCCCCACCCCCCCCATATTTCAGTGCAAAAATAATCTGCCAGAAATACATTGTCTATAAAGAACGGTTAATTGCCAACGAACAGAAGTCAGTAAATACATCAATAGAAAAGACATCTCTATCATCTCTATCATTTTAAAAATAACACTATAAACACCTTCGGATCAGTCAGGGAAGAAGGAATCTGAAGCGCAAGCCTGCACGCGCAGCCTCAGGACCAGGCGAGAGGGGCCGAGGGCCGGGAAGGGCTCCCGGAGCACCGCGGAGCGCCCCGGCAGCGGCACCGCGGCACGACGGCCGGGCGCAGCCGCACGGCGCCGGCGCTGCAGGAGTACAGAGAGCCAACGCGCCGTCGGGAAGAGCCGGCCGGGCGCGGGGCGCAGCCCCTCCCGCACGCCGCGCACCTGTTGCTACGCCCGCACCGCTCGCCTCTCCGGGGCCGCGCCGGGACCCCGCGGACCCCTTGCGGGGCGGCCCCGGCCGGGCTCTGCCTCCCGAGCGGGAACGACGCCCCGCTTCTCCCCGCGGCTCCCGGAAGAAAAGTTCCCCGCAAACTTGCCTGCAAGTTGCCCGCCGTGCCGCGGACACCGAGCGCGGCCGCCGGCAGCCCCGCGGCGGGTAGCGGCCCCGCGGCATGGG